TGCTGAACATGTCTCTGTTATTTTGATTCTTTTCATTTTGTCTCTTGTTATGTTTTATTATCAGGTTCATGGGAGACTGTAACAATCCCCCAACAGTACCAAAAGATCCCGCTCCCGGCTTACGGGGCTGCTGTGCTAAACGGTGACGCCTCGTCCCATCCGTTCCATTCCCTGCCTCCACCTCCACCTCCACCACCACATTCCCATCAGACTCTTTTCAGTTCCTTTGGCTATCACAGGCTCTCCCCTAGCAGTGCCGACGAGCCGCGTTACGGACAAGGTAGTTCACCGCTCGCTTCATTCTCTCGATGGATTTCTTTCTTTTGAAGTGTGTACCTATTCTTTTCTTTTCTATCCGCTCGGCTTCTCTCCCCCATGCCTTGGTGCCTGCCGTGTGCTTGCACGCAAGTGCGTGTGCGCCTGCAGGCGTGTGCTAGTGCGCGTGCATGCAGATGTGTGCATGCGTGTGTGTGTGCATGCGTGCGCGGCTGCGTGCGGCTGTGTGCACGCGTGCATGCAGAGCGGCCCCTCTGCTGCCCTCTCCTTGCACTGCTGCTGTCACCCCGCTGCAGCCACATCCCATCCCCGGTATCCCTGGCCGTGAGGACAGCTCTGGATGTGGCGCTGATTCCCTGACCGTGTGCTATCCCACCCGCAGCATCCACCCCCAAAAAAACACTCTGCAGCCTCCTGGTGCCAGGTTGGGAGGGGACAGCAGGAGCGAGGAGCCCCTGCCCTTGTAGCATCCCCTCTCGGAGTGTCCAGCAACCACAGGGCTGTGCACTCAGAGCGGGGCTGGCACTGTCCTGAGGGTTCTCTCAGGGCTGGATCCCCACAGGCAGTGACCAGCTTCATCCTTGGGACATCTCTGTGGCACAGGCGGGTGACGGGCACTGCTGGTGTGGGTGCGGGTGATGGTGACTGGGATAGGCTCTGTGCACAGCAGATATGGAGCCAGGGATTCTCGTGGTTGTAGCCTCTGTGCTGGCACACTGTGCCATGCCCTCGGGGGCTTCTGCCAGCTGTTTTGGGTTGGGGGTGCTTGTACAATGTGAGGCACACGGTGTGTTGGAGGAGCACTGGGCCACGCCTGTGGCTTCCCAGTGTGATGAGGATGGGGATGCAGCACTGCTCCCTAAGGTTTTCTCTTGCAGTGAGTGGCACTGAGCCTCAGCTCTCTGTGGTCACAGCACGCACAGTGGGCACATCTCAACCTAACAGCGCCGTGGCTGTCAGCTTCCTGCTCACGTTCCTACCATGAATTTATCACCTTGCACCATCTGCCCTGTGCTCCAGCCTAGCTGGGAGCTGGGCTAGTGGTCTCATGAATAAAAATATCTGCAGTGGCACTGGGGTGCAGCTTGGGCACAGCTCCAGCACAGGGCCGCTCTCCATCACCACATGATGCTGTTTTACACCCTGACCTCACTGCAGGGGGTTGGTACGGGTCCAGCCCCATGCTGGGCATTTCCAGCTCTGCCCAATGGGGCTGGATGGAGCGATGGAGCTGCACTTCTGGGGTGGGTTGGTGTGCATGGGGCTGGGTCTAATCACTGCAGCTGGGTCACCCCTGTGTCACCTACTGCTGTAGGGGAGCACAGCACTCTGGTGTCTGGTCCTGCAGCATCCTCGCATGGGTGCAGATGGCCACATGGGGACAGCTGTGCCGCCTCAGCTGGGGACAGTGGGATGGGGGCTGTGGTCCTGACTGCCTGAGTCCTCACTGCTGCCTCCTGTCCCCTGCAGTGGGTCATGTCCCCATCCTGCTGTGCACAGGGACAACATAGTCCCTGTTTCCCAAGTCCTGCAGTGGATCTGTCCTTCATTGGTGCCTGGCAGGACAGGGCCCTGGCTCTGGCCATGTGCACATGGTCACTCCATGCTGGCTTCTTGAGGAGGACAGGACCGAAGGACAGCGTTGGCATCCCCCAAAACCCTTGACTGTTTTTTTTTCCCCTGCATATGGTGGTGATGGGCCCGGGGCCAGGGCTCACCTCTCTCCATGCCACACTGCTGTGAGCCCCCTGTGCTGGGTCACACCTGCCTGACGCTGCTCTCTCTGCTCTGCCACCAAGGGTCCCGTGGGGCTGACATGAGCCCATCCCACCTTTCACCATCGCAGGGTGGATCGGCTGCACCTGCACCCACCGAGGAGATCTGGGTGCTGCGGAAACCTTTCACAGGTACAGTGGGCATTTTCCTCCCTGTCCCTAGGGCAGCACACGTCACAGCTCCGTGGCGTCCCCGTGCCTGGATGCAGAGCCCTGATGGCATCTCCTCTCCCTGTGCAGGTGGTGACCGCAGCAGCCTGGGTAGCACGGGCAGTGTGGCCTCAGCCCGCAGCTCCGGCAGTGGTCAGAGCACGGGGAGCGGGGCACATGCCCTGCATGCTGGCTCTGAGGGCGTCAAGGTAAGGCCGTGCACCGGCACACAGTGTCACATGGCTCCAGCATCGGTGCTGGCTCATGGTGGGACTTTGCTCCTTTGGCAGCTGTGATCCCATCCTGAGCAGGGCCCCTGCTGAGATTAGTGCTCCACCTGGTCCTGCAAGGTCCTATTGGCATTCAGTGCCACAGATCATGGTTGTCACCATCCTGCCACCCTCTCCCACCCCCATGCTAGCTGCTCGCTGAGCTCAGCCCCCAGTACCAGTGCAGCATCTGGCCGAGGCCCGAGCTGTACATCTCTGCTGCCTCTCGGAGGATGCATCTGCACTGCGCACTGCACCGCACACTGCACGCTGCCATCTGCACGCGGCCCACTGCAGCTACGCGCTGCATGCTGCCATCTGCTCGCTGCACACTACTGCCCAGTGCACGCTGCTGCCCACACACTGCCCTCTGCATGGCATGCAGTGCCCATTGCACCCTCTGCATGGCATGCAGTGCCGCACATTACACCGCGTGATGCACTTTCTGCACCGCACAGTGCACGCTGCACACAGCACAATCACACAGCACACTGCACTGTACATTGCCCACCGCTCACTGCACTCTACACACTGCTCGCTGCCCCCTGCACTCTGTGCACAGCAGCCCCCGCCCATGCCAACCCATCCCGAGGAGCCCCGTGAGCCCACCTCCCCACAGACGTGATGCTGTGGCCGGCTGGGCACTGAGCACAGTGTGTGCCCCCCGTGCTGACGGCCACCACGGCTGCACCGTGCAGGGGGGGCCGTGCTGGCAGCCCTCTCCGGCGTGCGCCAGGCTGCATTCGGGGTGCCGCGGTGCCGCAGGCTCCCACCACCCGCGAGCACCATATGTGCTGTGAGCGCTGCTTTCCCCTCCGCAACCCAGATCCGTCGCGCTCCTCCCTGCAGCACCGCAGCGCCCGCCGCGCACCCCCCGGTTCCCCGCTCGCCTCACTGCCGCCTGCTCTCCCCCCTTCTCGGGGTGTTTTTCAGCTGCTGGCAACGGTCCTTTCCCAGAAGGCTTCTGCGCAAGATGCTGCCGTGGGCGATGGGCCGGCCAAGGCGCAGGACATCCCCGCAGGTGCGTGCTGCCGGCCCGGCTGCTGGGAGCAGGAGGAGCCCTGGCCCCGCCGCGGGCTTGCCGTGGGCTGAGTGATTTGTCTTTTTTTTTATTGCCGCGGCACCCGGCGCAAAAGAAGAAAACGTGTGGGTAAAAAATGACTCTCTCGCCTTTCGGCTGCTGCCAGGCCTTCTCCTGCCTCGGTTAGTGGGGGCACCGTGGGGAGGGGGGGGGGGAGGCGCGGGCGGGCGGTGGGGCGAGAGCGCTCCCCTGCCTCTTCCCCTCCCCGGCCCCCCCTCTGCCGCTGTCTCGCCGCCCGGGGGCTCGGCCGGGGGCAGCCGGGCCGGGGGTGCCCACGCCGCGGGGGAGGCACGTGGGGGACGCAGGAGGACGATGCTCGCGTGCCGGGTGTGCGTGCCGGGGGGTGCCCGGGCTGCAGGGGGGAGGTGCGCACATAGGGGGGTGCAGGCATTGATGGGGGTGGTGTGCACGCTGAGGGGGTGCAGATATTGGGGAGGGAGTGCACAGATGTGGAAGGTGCCCACATGAGTGGGAGATGGATGTGGTGGGGAGGCACATGGCAGAGGGAGGCACATGTGAGGAGGAGCCCACGCGAGTGAGATGCAGACAGTGGGGAGATGCGTGCGCCTGGGGGATGCACACAAACTGGGGGAGTAGTGTGCACACACACACACACACACACACACACACACAACGAGGATGCAGGCAGGCGCACGCATACACAGAGAAAATTGCTCACGCAGCGTGCAGTTAAATACAAGGAGGATGCACTTACCAGCAGGGGGAAAGGGATGCTCTTGTTGATCTGGATTAGAAATATGAGGTTGAAATTTCTGGGCAACCTGATGGCTGCTGAAGGCCACCATCCTGAAGCCAAGGGGTGTCTGGGTGCCTGTGCTGAGGTGCAGGGGTACAGGGCAGCTAGTGGCAGTCTGCTGGGTCTCCTGGCTGCAATGAGGCTGAGCTCAGCCCTGTGCCAGTAGCATGGCTGGAGGAGTGGGCACAGATGGCTCTGGGCAGCAGGACCTCAGGCTGCTGCCTGGGGCACGTGGGCAGACGAGGAAAGCAACTCTGGGGAGGGGTCTGCCTCCTGCTGGGTCCATCGAAACACTCTGGCCCTCAGCCTCCACTTGGCTACCCCAGGTGAGCACCATCCTCTTAATGCCCCAATGATGCCACGGTCTGTGGGAGCTGTGTGCACGATGGCATGGGGGCCAGGGAGACCTGGGTACCCTGCAGAGTTCTGTGCCAGCACAGCCTCCTCTGTAAGCCTGGGGATAGCCTGCTGGCCTTACTGGGCACCAGCAGTACAGGGATGGTACTGTCCCAGGGAGCACAGCCCAGGTAAGGGCACCCCGCTGCATGGGGCTGGATGTTGCTCTCCTCTGCCTATCCTAGCCTTGTTGCCCTTGGCAGGGGTTCTGCTCCCTGCCTTGCACAGCCAGAGTCTGGGGGCTGCAGCACAGGGATGCACTGAGGAGGGCTTGACCAAGATTCCAGCACCACGAGGCCCTGCAGACCCATGGCCCCATTCCCCACTGACTGCTGCCCCCCCCAGCAGGCTCGTCGCGGTCGCAGAGTGTGGCCAGCTCCCCCTATGCCCCCCAACCACCTGCCGAGCAGCAGCTGAAGAAGATGGAGCCACCATCAGAGGGGAAGGTAAGCAGGGAGCACTGAGTGCACTGGGTACCCTACAGAGTGCACAATGATGGGGGGCATAGGCACAGCCACCCCCTCACCAACAGCTGCAGGCAGAACTGTGCCACAGCCACCTGTGCTGGCGTGGCTGAGTGCTGGTTCTGGTGCTGGCCATGATGCCGTGCCCATGGGATGCCCAAGCCAAGGGGCTACATGGCCCTTCTGCAGTGCTGATTGATCTCAGGCCAGCATGCAGCTGGACAGCCCATGGGGCTGTGACAAGGACAGAGCAACAGATCCCTGTGCCAAGGCTGCCCCGAGCAACACCACCCTTCTCATTCTAGAGCTCAGAAGCTGTGTACCAGTGGCTGTGTAAGTTCCAGCTGCAGCTCTACGCACCAAACTTCATCAATGCCGGCTATGATATCACCACCATCAGCCGGATGACACCAGAGGTGAGGCCATGAGAGCAGTCCTGGGTCCGCCACCTGCTTGTGGAGAGCGATCCTGATTCTTCTCTCTCCTTCAGGACCTCACGGCCATTGGTGTCACCAAGCCGGGGCACAGGAAGAAGATCGCCTCTGAGATCAATAACCTCAACATCCCCGAGTGGCTGCCCGAGTACAAGCCGGTAAGGGCTGCGCGGGGCCAGGTGCCATGGTGCCACATCCAGAGCGGTGCTAGGAGCCCTGCAGCAGGTTCCATCCAGGGAGGGCTGTCACAGGGGGGATGGCAGTGGGAACTGGCTCACTGCTCCCAGATGAAGCCCATATCCCATGGTCCTGAAGCTGCACGTCCCCTGCTGAAGTCCCTGTCATTGGCATCGGGCCAGTGACAGCTGTCACTACGTGGATGTGATGCTGTCTGTGCCTTGATGTTGTCCCATCAGCTGGACCACAGTAAGGGGTGCTTGGAGCACAGAGGTGCAGGAGTCCCCTGGGCCCTCCCTGGTGAGCACAGGGACACGTGTGGCAGTGTCGCTGCTTGCGGTGTCACCTGGTGCTGAGCAGTGTCCCACGCCCCCAGGCCAACCTGGCGCTGTGGCTCTCCATGATTGGCCTGTCCCAGTACTACAAGGTGCTAGTGGAGAACGGCTACGAGAACATCGACTTCATCACTGACATCACCTGGGAGGACCTGCAGGAGATCGGCATCACCAAGCTGGGTAAGGTCCCATGACACAGCACTGTGGTGGCCCATGGTTCCTTGGCTGACACTGATGCTATGTGCCATCCCCAGGCCACCAGAAGAAGCTGATGCTGGCAGTGAAGAAGCTGGCAGAGCTGCAGCGGGCTGAGCTGGGCAAGTACGAGCCAGGCACACTGAAGAGGAAGGCGGCGGCATGCCCAGAGGTGCTGGCCATCGAGTCCCCACCACCTGAGCCACCCGAGTGCCAGTCACCCAAGATGACAACGTTCCAGGACAGCGAGCTGAGCAGCGAGCTGCAGGTGGCCATGACAGGTGAAGGCCCTGAAGAGACGCCTGAGAAGCCAGCCAACCCTGCAGCCCCTGGCTACCGATCGCCACCAGCGCTGGGCGGCCGCGCCAGGCAGATGAGCAGCTCACAGGAGCTGCTGGGCGATGGTCCCCGTGCCCCTGCCAGCACCGCCATCTCCAAGAGCCAGGAGTACCTGGCAGAGGGGGCCCCTGAGGGTCCCCCCGTGCCACCAACCAAGGAGCTTCGCCAGCCACGGCACGGCCACTCTGTCAAGCGTGCCAGTGTTCCGCCGGTGCCCGGCAAACCCAGGCAGCCCTTCCCACCTACCGCCGGGCACCTGACACCACCGCAGACCCCCGGCAAGCCACGTCCACCCTCCCCACAGGGCCCATCGGCACCCCACGCCACTGCCAAGGTGAAGCCCACTCCACAGCTGCTGCCGCCGGGTGAGCGCCCCGCATCACCCCGCTCCCTGCCCCAGTCTCCCACGCACCGCGGCTTTGCCTACGTCCTTCCGCAGCCCACTGATGGTGAGGGCGTCCCCCCGGGGGTGCCGGTTCTGCCCGTCTCAGTGCCGGTGCTGTGCCTGCCACCAGCGGGCGAGGGTGAGGAGGAGCCGGGGAGGCCGAAGAAGCGGGCACACAGCCTGAACCGCTACGCCGCCTCCGACAGCGAGCAGGAACGGGACGAGCTGCTGGTGCCCGACGCAGGGCCTTATGCCACTGTGCAGCGGCGTGTGGGGCGCAGCCACTCAGTGCGGGCACCTGCCGGTGGTGACAAGAATGTCAACCGCAGCCAGTCCTTCGCCATCCGCCCCAAGAAGAAGGGGCCCCCGCCACCACCCCCCAAGCGCTCCAGCTCTGCCATCTCCAGCGCTGGCATGGCCGAGGACTTCCCCAAGGATGGTGAAGGTGAGGTGGCCGCCGGAACCCCTGGCACTGAGGGGGAGAGTCGCCAGGAGCAGCGGCGTGCCAGCGATCTGGGTGGCAGCGTGGACACGGGCAGCGCCGGCAGCGTGCGCAGCATTGCAGCCATGCTGGAGATGTCCTCCATTGGTGGTGGGGCACGGGCGTTGGCCCTGCAGAAACCACCTGCGGCTGGTGTGCCTGGGAAGGGGCCCGATGGGTACTATCTGCAGCCAGGAGCTCCCCCAGGGAGCCCTGAGCGTGCCCGTGTGGCCACCGTCCTGGCTACCGTCAAGCACAAGGAGGCCATTGGGCTGGATGGGGAGGTTGTGAACCGACGCCGGACCATCAGCGGTCCTGTCACCGGGCTGGTGGCGGCCACACGCCGTGAGCGTGCCGACAGTGTGCGCTCCGAGACTGGCGCCGATGGCCCCAGTGAGCGTCTGCGGGCTGAGCGCGGTGGCTCTCCAGACACAATTCCCTTCGCTGAGGAGGGCAACCTCACCATCAAGCAGCGACCACGTGCCCTGGGACCGGCCCGGGTGGAGGCAGGCGAAGGGCTGTCCCCAGCACACCGCCATGGGGACCTGGCCAAGGTGGAGGCCAGCGCCACACTCAAGAGGCGCATCCGTGCCCGGCAGAGCCAGCAGGACAGCGTCCGCTTCATCCTCACTGAGTCTGACACTGTCAAGCGCCGGCCCAAGGCCAAGGACAAGGAGCCAGCACTGGAGCAAGCCCCTCTTGTCGTCTACCAGAATGGCACCGGCACTGTCAAGCGGAGGCCGGCCTCAGAGCTGAGTGGAGCTGAGACTCCCCCAACCCCACCGCCTGCCACCCGCCCCGACGGCCCTGACTTCACCCCACCGCCTGCTGAGCCCAAAAAACCCTTCAAGCCACCGGTGTCCCCCAAGCCTGTGCTAACGCAGCCAGCGCAGAAGGTCCCTGGGCCACCGGTGCCCATCCCTAAGAAGATGCCCATCCCAAGCCCAGGCAGCCCAGGTAGGTGCTCGTGGACATTGGGGATGGTTGGTTGTGGGGTGCCCCTCGGGGCACTGCACTGTCACTGCAGCCATCCTACCCCATTCCCTCTCCCTTCTCTCCACAGAGGTGAAGCGTGTCCATGGCACACCACCGCCCGTATCCCCCAAGCCCACACCACCCCCCACAGCCCCCAAGCCCCCCAAACCCCATGCCGCCATCCAGTCGGTGAGCGCGGGCTCCACGCCAACTCCGTCCCCTGCCCGGCAGCTGGGCGCTACTGCCAAGCCCTCCAGCACACCACCCTCACTCTGCTCCAGCCCTGCCAAGCCCCTCTCACCCGGCGCTCAGCCCCAGCAGGTGCCAGTGAAACCGCCGCGTTCCGCTATCGCCGGACCCTCTGTTGACAGTGCCAGCCCTGAGCTGGTGCAGCAGAAGCTGGAAGAGACCAGCGCATCCCTGGCTGCTGCGCTGCAGGCTGTGGAGGAGAAGATCAAACAGGAGGACAGCCAGGCAGCAGAGTAAGGGCTGCGGGGATGCGGTGCATGGCAGGGAGCTGTGCGAGGGCTGCGGGCTGTGCTCTGGGCTGCGTGGGGATGGTGGTTTGGGGGGATGAGTACCACGGACTGGCGGTGGTGGTGACACTGGGGACAGGGCACTGGGGCTGTCGTGCCACTGGGGATGCTGGCCACAATGGGTCAGGGCCACGGCACAGGGCAGAGGTAGCCACGTGGTCCCAGTGCATGTGCTGACCCAGTGCCCACCACTCTCCTAGCTCCGCTGCAGAGGCCAAGAGCACAGGCAGCATCCTGGATGACATCGGCAGCATGTTCGATGACCTGGCCGACCAGCTGGATGCCATGCTGGAGTGAGGGGCGCGACGGCCCCGCGAACCTCAGGGCTTACGTGGGCACAAGGGCACAACGATCCGCGACCTCCCAGCCCCACCATCCCCTTTGTACAGCCGTCCCCTCCTGGACCTCCCATCCCTTGGGGTTTGCACAAAGAAGAAGATACCTCAGGATTGTGCTCACGGACTCGGCGCCCGCCCGCCCGCCACGGCTCCGGCAGGACTCCCTTCTGCAGAAGCAAAAAAATACAATAGAAGAAGCAAAGCAACACCACCCGGCCTGAAGCGCCCTGCTCGCACCAGATCTGGGTTTGGGGTTTTCTCTCCCTACCCGTGGTGGCCCCGTGGTTGCCCTGCCGGCCCCGGTCCCCGAATGTAGCACAACCCCGGTGCGGCACTGATGGCATTCATCCACCCGTGCCCTCTTGTTCTGGTGGCGAGTCCGGATGGGCGATGCACTTAGGTTTCTTGAATTTTTCTTTTCATTTTCTCTTTTTGTCATTTTTTTCCTCTGTTGTTCGCGAGCATTGGGGTGGGCACGGTGCTGGGTACCCCCACAGCACCCGGACCCCTGCACCTGCAGCTCTCCAGCCCCGTGCTGCTGCTGTGGGCTCTTCACGTCGGGGTGGGAAAGGGGCTTTTTGTCGGTACCATTGCAAATGGATGAGCTCCTGCTTGGGGCAGGTGGGGAGCAGCAGGTTGTGCCCCTGCCTGGCCCCTCGCCGCCGGGGGAGAGGACGTCATGAGCTATAAAGAAGTATTAATTTATTGGAGGGGAAAAACGACTGAGAGATATAAAGCAGTATTTCCCCCATCCCCCAAATAATAATAATAATTAAAAAAAAAAAAAAAAAAAAAAAGAATAAACTTTAACAAATATATATTTAAAAGATTTAAAAAAAAAATATTAGCAATTATATATAAAGCAGTTTAAAAAAAAAAAAAAATCAAGAGAGAACTGGATTTTAGCTTGAGAAAAACTATTAGATTATACTAAGCTGTGTGTCTTGTGGCAAATTCATTCTCCGAGTAGCACAATATTTACCTTTATCTGGGTGGAAGGTACGTGCAAGCCGTTCTGTTCGGGTTTTCCGTTGGGTTTCAGTGTACCGTCTTTCTTTTTACACAGTTAAGAACTCAAAGGATGTGCCTTGTTTTATGGAGGTTTTTGTTAACTCTTCTACTGGAGGTGTTTCGTTTCTTTCTGGAGTGTCTTCAGGTTTTCATTTGACTTTTTTTTGGCATTTATGTGTGTGTGTGTGTGTGTGTGTGTGTGCACGCGGTGTGTGCGTGCGTCCCAGCGCACGGCTGTACATTCATGTATAAACAGGAGTCTGGTTCAGTCGCTTGAGTTCTGATGAATGCATCTTTTTTTTTGCTTGTGGTTCCCAACAAAGTGTTGCTGTACCTCTCTCTTCCCGAGCCGCGCAGGCTGGGCTCGCCCTCCCCTCCCTCCTTCCCATTGTGGTCGCTGATCCAGATGTGTTTGGCACAACTTTGAAATTTCTTTACAAAAA